TCTCTCTGTTTTTTACACTATATAATTTCTATTGATTTCTCATCAACTTCACCAACTCTTCCTTATTCATCTCTGTTCTTCTGTAGAGCCTATCTAGGGAGGTTTTTCTTTAATTTTGGTTACATATTTTTAAGTTCTAAAATTTCCATTTGGTTCTTCTTTAGGAATTATTTTTCTTTGCTGAGACTCTCTTTGTTTCAAAAGTGTTCCTCTTACTGTCAAGCATTTTTATAAAGCTGCTTTAAAGTCATTGTCACATAATTCCAATATGTATATCATCTCAGTATTGGCATCTATTGATTGAATTTTTCCATTCAAGTTAAGATTTTCCTGTTTCTGCCCAGGCCAAGTAATTTTAGATTTTATCTTAGACATATTTAATACTATGCTATAAGATTATTGGTCTTGTTTAGTGTGATGGGGAATGTTGATTGTTTTGTGTGAGGAGGCAATTGACCCAGTTAGGTTCAGACCACAAGTTCTCACCATCTTTCTGTGGGCTGTGGTTTCAGTGACAGTGCAGTTTTCGAAGGCTTTGCAAACCTCCTCTTTGGATTGGTCTGGTGTGTATGCTATCCAATGGCCAATCTGGTACATGGGCATTGATTTATCTCTTCATTTCTCAGTGTTTGGTCTAGTGTTTAGTTTCAGATCCATACATGTGCCGCTTCCTCTCTGTGATGTTTTCTGTACTTCCTGGTTCATTGGGCCACTTTTTCAGTATCAGGATCCAAGTAGCAGGAGGACAAAGAGAATAAGCATTAAAGGCTCACTCCCACCCTTGTAAGATCACTGCTTCTGTGATTAGAGAGGAAAGTTCCCATCATTCAGAGTTCTAGTTTCCTGTTTTTGCCCTGTTGCCACTGCCACCACAGGTTTGCTTTGGGCTGGCACACATGAGAACAGAAAAATAAGAAAGAAAGAAAAATTGTGTTTCCATTACACTTTCTTGAGTTTTCAGTGACCCCCATTTCTCACTCTTCAGCCAGAACTGGAGAATGTTTCTCCTGGTGCTTTCTCTGTCCACATCAATGGATGCTTCCAGATTTCAGGTAGCATTGTGTCCACACCAGGAGGTACTAGAGGAAAAAGAAATGCCAGATTCATCCTTGGTTCATGGTACTTTGAATTCTCATCTTCTTCCCCAGTGCTCCTTCTACTGTTTAGTTTTCAGAGTTCTTTAATTAGCTGTTCCTAGTTTTTCTAACTACCTTTGATCGGAACAAGGGAATGTGTGCGTATTCCATCTTACCAAGGAAAAAATCAGTGCTTGGTTTTGGGGCATAAGTTTTCCTAAAAAAATTTTGTAATACGACAATCTGTTATTATATTAAACTTCTAGTGCAATCATACAGAGGGTTGTTTTTTATAAAAAGTATACTTTGGTTTTATTTGCCACAAGGACTTATATTCTTTTGGTATTCAAACCATTCTCTTTTTAAGTGCCTCTCCTGACATCATCTTTCTTAATTCTCTCTTCCACCGTTGTTAAACACTAACTCTACCAGATTTTTCCATGGCTATGTCATTCGTCCATGGCTTGTAGCATGATGTGAGTAGTTCTCCATCATTTTCCTTGACTTTAGGATATCCTCACCTTTATGACAGATATGATCATTCACCTTGTTGATTTGCACTTTTTAGCTGTTTGTATGAGACAATTAAGAAGATTCTGACCCCCAAAGAGAGAAATTGACATCTTGGGTATAGATAGATACTAGTTAGTGTTAAGTAGGGATACAGTTTAGATGGAGAATACATTTTCCTTCCAATATTTTTTATTGTGGTAAAATACATAGAACATAAAATTTACCATCTTAGTGATATTAAGTGTACAGTTCAGTGGTATTAAATACATTCATAATGTGTGGCCATCACCATTATCCATCTCCATAACTTTTTCATCTTGTAAAACTGAAACTCTGTACCCATTAAATAATAACTCTCCTTTCCCCCACTGCCAAGCAGCCCCTCGCAACCACCATTCTGCTTTCTGTCTCTATAATTTTGACATTAAATGCTTCATTTAAATGGAATCATACAGTATTTGTCTTTTTGTGGTTGGCTTATTTCACTTAGCATAGTGTCCTCAAGGTTCATTCATGCTGTAGTAGCATGTGTTAGAATTTCCTTCCTTTTTATGGCTGAATAATATTCCATCATGTATAGATGGAGAGAAAAATTTATAACTCTTCAGTTCAGTGGTGAATATGTTTAATGTTACAACTTTCACTTTGTAGCTTCATGAATTTTGGTACTTGGATAATCACTATTCTTAATAACAAGGATCCTCTTTTTCACTTAAAAAAGAAAAGAACAGACAAAGAAAAAGCTTTTGCTTCCAATTCCACCCTGAATATTTTACGGTGTTTCCTTGTCTCCTCTAACTATGTCTTGATGTGGTGGTCATCTCTGTGTAAAAATTTTTAACCTGCTTTTTTCACTTAACATTTCTTAAAACATTTTTCATTGTTGTTGGGTATAATTGTCATAAACATCATTTTATGAAATAATGAACTTCAGTAGACAAGGCCCTATGCTACACACTAGGATATAAATATGAGTTAGCAGTTCTTTGACTTCATAGAACTTAGGTTAAATGGGGAGGCAGAAGCAGATACATAAGTACTAAAAAGAAAAAATACAATAAAAGTTTCATGAAAGTGGTGCTTCTTGAAGGAAGAGTAAATGTTTACCTGTCAGGGCATGGAACACATGATACATTGAGGGAAGTATACATAACGCAGTATTTCATTTCATGACCCATTTCAGTGGGTCGTGGATCTGTACTCACTAACATTGAATAGTTTACAAGACATATTGTTAAGTACAAAAAAGCAAGTTGAAAAACAGTATGACGATGTGATTTCATTTATGTGAAAAAAGCAAAACTGTATTTGTATATATACATATATGTGTATAAACATAGCAGAAGTTATAACAAGACATACCAAACTGGTAACAGTGGTCACTTCTAGTAAAGGGAGTGAGTGCAGAAGTAGAAATATTAAGGAAGACTGTGTATGGCATGTATCTTCTAGGAGATAGTTTTTATTTGTGTTGTTAAATATAATAAGGAAATCATATGTAAATAGTGGAACCTTAGTACAATGGAATGTTATTAGATCTCGTTTTGTAAGTCAGTAATTTGCAAACATTCCTTATATTTGGAACCCTTTTTTCAAACAATTTTGTTAAGTCAAATTTTTGAGAGAGTGATTTTGCTTCTAAGTGAGGCTAGAAGATCTGGAGATCTTGATTTCTGTGTACATGTGCATACATGCATGCACACAGAGATCTGAAATGCTGTACAGATCCTGGGGTGTTAACAAGTACAAACTGAAAGATAAAATTATATTTTAAATTTTCTCTCTTTTGACTATGTATTTTAATGTTTTTATAAGAATCAAATTTTTGTTACAGCTATGAGATGATTTTTTTTGTAGGAAAAACTCAACCCTGGGGCTATATGGTGAATGGGGTTCTCTCATGCACTGGTAATGAGAACATAACTCTATTTTAGAAAGGGATTTAGTATCATGTGTCAAAGGTCTTTGAAAATGACCATATCCCTTGACCTAGTAATTCCACATTTATGCCCTATGAAATACCCAAGAAACTTAGGTAAAAATGCCTATCAGAGCATTATTTGTAATGAGAAATCAGAAATAACTTTAATATCTTATATTCCATTTGATGAAATATTATGAAAAATTATATTCAAGAGGACTTTAAAATCATATAGGAAAAGGCTTGATAAGGGGAAGCCCCTTCTCATTCAGCTCCAACCCCAGAGAGATAATAGTATTTTCACTTTTCTTGCCAAAGATTAATTTTGCTTCTACTTGAACTTTATATGTACTCTTTGGTATCTCTTCTTTCACTCAGTATAACATCTTTGAGATTTATCCATATTGTTGTTGCGTCAGTACTTTGTTCTTTTTATTCACTGTATAGTATTCCATTGTTTGAATATACCCCGATTTATCCATTCTTGTGTAGATTTACATTTGAGTTGTTTCCAGTTTGGGACTATAAAGCTGTTTTTAGCATTCTTGTTTGCATATTCTGGGTGACAATTGTACTCCTTTCTCCTGGGTAAATATTTAATAGAGTAGCATTGCTGTGCCATATGGCATTATATGTTTACCTTTATAGGAATCTGTCAAACTGTTTTCCAAACTACCAATATATATTCCCACCAGCAAAGTTACTCCATATCCTCGCCAATGCTTGATATTTATCGTCATTACTTTTAACCATCTTGGTTGGAAATATAGTGCCCCTGTTTGTGGTTTTTATATATGTTTAAGTGCTTTTGGTTTCAGTGTTCATACTTTGGAACCAATAATTCCACTTTTGGGGCATTTTCCTAAGGACATAATCTCGAATCTAGAAATAACTTATGTGTACTTATATGTTCTTTGCTGCCTAACTTAAAATAAGCAAATGTGAGAAATAACCTAAATATCAGGTATTAGGGAAGTAGTTACATGATTTATGATACATTTATAATGAAAAAATATATAGCCACTTACAATTATCTTACAGTAAAGCAGGACACAAAATTGTGCATAGAGTATGGTATCAACTGTAGAAAAATACGTGTATTAAAATAGGCCAGTGACACTTCAACCAGTAAAGTGTATTTTTAAAAATACTGGAAGCAAACACACCAAAATATCTTTGGGTGGTGATACTGTGTAACTTTTTTCCCCCTAATCCTTAGGTATTTTTTCTAATGATCATATGACCATTTAAAAATAGTACAAAATATAAGTAAACTTTATTTTTAGATTTAATTTTTTTAAGTATTCTGGATTTTATGTTTTGTAATGCTTTTTGCCTACCTCACTTTTTCTGCAATGTGAAAAATTGCTCTTTTGGGTTTCTTTAAATATTTTATTTCTGCCAGTGTTTTGACTCTCAAATTATAAATTGCATAAAAAGGCACTCTCATGTTGTTTCTTCTTCTGAACATCTGATGTTCCAACATCCAGTCTAGGACAGAAGATAAAATTGAGCGATTTAAGAAAGCAGTTGAGTACTATTCAGTCACAACCAAAATCTCTTCGCTGCCAGTGGGTCCTTCCTCCTTTCCAGGTAAGGCTTCTGTCTGACCCCAGGCTACTTTGTCCATAGGGAAAACTGAGTTAGTCCCTCAGGAATTCCTGGGCCAGAGTAGCATCACTTGTTTGTATTGTGTTCTCCTAGAAGTCATGCCTATTTGGTAGACATTCTTTTTCTGATTTCCAGATAAAAAGTGAGGTGACATCAGGCAGGGCCCTGATTTGTCAAATTTATAGATAGGGTCCAGTGCTGTCTCCTTATGTTTGGGCTCCTTGTGGCACTGACCTCCATGGTGACCTGGTTTATATAAAATAACCCTTTCTTTGGCGTCAGACATAAGTTTGAATTCCACCTCTGCTGTTTACTAGCTGTGTGATCTTGACAAGTCACGTTTGTATAAAATGTGGCTCATGATTCCTACTTTATAGGATGTTATCAGATAAAATAGTTTATATAAAATTCCAGGCATGGCACATAGCTGCTATTCAATAAATTATAACTTATTTATTAATAATTTTCAAGTGATATAGGGTTAGCAGAATGCAATATGGTAGAATTATTGAGATTGACTTAAGCATAGCACTTTCTCTTGACTTCAGGTTTTTGGAATAATCGGCTTGGAAATCCTTCCCTTCCACGAAATCAAATGGGCAGTATCTCTGCTGGAAAGCCAATGGTAATATCTTTTAAGATATCTGAGATCATTTGTTAGCATTAAACTCATATTGGTTACTGATTTTTATAATCTTAGTTAAGGAGTTGGGGTGATTCAATGTTATCAAAGTGTTGAGGTTGTATATACCTATGTCACTTTCTTAACTTGACGCTGACATACTGGGGCAATGTGAAGGTTGATTAGGTAATGGCAGATAATGGTTTTCTAAAAGATGTAGGTTGGTCCATCGTCCTGGAGATTTCTGTCAATATATCACTATTAGGATTATTTCTGTTATTCTCTGTAGGTTCTTTGTATCCCAAGAATTTCTGCTACTTGGCATCATATATGTCACAACTCCAAAGGGAACCATTTTAGAGCCTAATAAAATGTTAAATAGTGTTTCTGTCTGTTTTATCCTTTAGTTTTCTTACCACGTGCCCCAGAAAACAAAATATCCAGCACCATTCCCAGTGGGACCCAACTCGTCACTTCTCTTTTCCCCCCATGCTTTTTCTGAGGATTCCATGCTGCAAGACAGCCCATTTGCCAATTGGGCTGTCTCTTATGACTCCTCTGCATCCCAGTTTCCCAATTATCTGACTTCCAAAGCTGCACCTTCTTTGGGACCAGACTCTTCCCACTCCTCTTCCTCTGATGGTGATGAGCCAAATGGAGCTAGCTCTGAGTAAGTATCTGTACAGGCACCCAATGGAACAGACTTCTGAAGTAACTGTATTGTTTTGCCCAACACAAGAGGGGTGTGGGGAAGTGTATGTTCCTGGCTTTCCTCTGTTACTCTTTGCTTTTAATCAAAGTAGGAAAACTATGCTTGGCCATTTAATGCTCATTTTGACCCTGTTCAGGTGGTGATTCTCAGATGCTCTGGCCACTGAGGCAAAAGGGTTAGCAGCAGGTTAGGGAAGCCCTGGTATGGGTGTGTTACATATCTTAGCTGTCATTTCTCAATTTTTTAGGGGGATGGATTGAATCTACGAAAAATGAAAAGGATTTATATAGTTGAAGTATTAGAACAACTGACTAGGCAGTTATATTGCTTAGTAACTAAGAGTTATGAGGATTAAAGCAGTGGGGTTTCATACTAGCTCATTTGTTGTTAGATTATTCTTCTAAGCAGATTATTCCTGGGAAACAGAACTGCCTTGATGTTTCAATTGTAATTATTCTCTTAGAATATAAGCAAGCTTTAGCCATGGCCTCTTAAAGGTATGAAGGATTCAGAATGGTTCCCATGACTTTTGATCACTTCAGTACATGTCAGATGAAAAGCAAGGAGGGCAGTGTTGGCCACTGAGAGAAAAAGTATCAGGTCCATTGCTAACCTTGGGCCCTGTTTTCCAGATTCATAAGATTCCTTGGAATCCAAACATATACCTTGAGCTGGAGTATCTTCTATCCACCTCCTTTCTCTGTTTTATACTGTCATTCTAAATTTTTTAGTCACATCACAGAATCACTTCAGCAGCATCCAGGATGGGAGGCTCCAAATGGTGACAGAGAGTCCTGGGTACAGTCCATCAGTGCTGGAGTTTCAGATGCCAACCTGGCTGATGGTGAGCCTCACATCCCATCTCTACTGTCTATGTCTACGCGGAACCACATGGACATCACCATTCCGCCCTTACCTCCAGTAGCTCCAGAAGTCTTGAGGGTTGCTGAACATAGACACCGAAGGGGTCTTATGTACCCATATATCTACCATGTCCTCACTAAGGTGAGAGAGCCCATCAGCACCTACCTCCCTGCTCTTAACACTGCACTTCACACTTCCCAAAAATGTCAAGTTACCAGGGAAAATTCTGGTCATTGGTATCTGAAGGGAGATATAAAGAGACCAAGGGTGCTCGGGCTCCTCATTGTATTTAGGGCCTCAGGTGACATGAGACCAGCAGCATATGGGAATCTGCAATAAATGAGGCCCTGAGAAGAGAAGTGGGATTGTGAGATTTTGAAATAAGAAAATGTACCAAGTTGGTGACTGGTCTAGTAATGGACATAATCTAAGAGGACTTTATGTTCCTTGTTTACTTCATGCATTACTTCTCCAGAACTGTTACCCTCCTCTACTCTTACCATATATATATATACCCCACCAAAGTGTCTAAAGATGGATTCTGCCCATTCAGTCAACTATAGTCATCATAGCAGAAAATTGTAAAATGGAACATAGCTTTGAAGCCGGCTGTGATCAACTGACTGAATACAACTTCTTTTTAGCCTGAAACTCTGTTTAAATACAAGTAGAAAATTTAGCAGCTAAGCTACAGAGCCTATATTTATTACTGGTTCTTCTCAGCTCAATTCCAAACCTTGAGGTAACTCATTTTCTCCTTTCCCCGGGCACTTTTCTTATTAGGGTGAGATTAAGATCCCCGTATGTATTGAGGATGAGTGTAACATGGAGCTGCCTCCAGCTGCTCTCCTTTTCCGATCAGCTCGTCAATATGTGTATGGGGTCCTTTTCAGTTTGGCAGAAACACAACGGAAAATGGAACGTCTAGCCATAAGGCGGCGGCTACCTGTGGAAGGTAAGTGTAGAAAGGTAAGACTTTGACATATCGCTCAGAGCATGACTCAGAGCGGAACGTCTGTGCAAAGCATATCATGCTTTTGGCTATGGGGCAGTCTTTAAGGAAATGTGTAGTTCGTCAGAATACCTGTAGGCATGGGAAATGTATTAAGCCCCAATTCTTTAATCATTAAGCATTCAGAGTGATTACTACTTATAAGAATCATGCTAGGTTTTGGGAATATAGAATTGTTTCTAACACAGTCTCTTTTTCTCAGTGAGGTTTTGTTTTGGGGTTTGATCTTATAGGTAGTTGGAGCCATTGAGGTGTTTTAAGCTGCAGAATGACATGGTCAAATTAGTGTATTCAAAAGAACTCTAGATTTCTGCTTCTGGGAAGATGGAATAGATGTACTTTTCCCCATTCCTCCTGCTAAATACAACTAAAACCCCAGGATATAATGTATACAATAAGCACACAACACTCTAGAAGGTGAAGCGAAGAAGCTAGACTGGCTAAGTCCTTGGGATCCAAGGAATGACACAGTGATGAGTTCCCTGGGTTTTCTTTTTGCTTCATATATCCTAAACTGGGTGCAGGACAAGCTGGTGGTCCAGAAACACCAACAGGTACAGACCAATAAAAGCCCCCCAAAAACCTGCTCTGTTTAGTCAAAGGACCCAAAAGGAACAACCTAGCAATATAGAAAGTTTTTAGATAATAACTGCTCTACTCCAGCCAAAGACCACAGAAAAACAAGCCTACCTTCACCCCAACCAGCAAAGGCTGAATGAAGAACTAGACTTCTACTGTTGCTAGACTGTAACAAGATGTGCCGCTTGGTCCTGCTGGGAGGTGTCAGATAAGACCATATGGGGCACCAGGACATCTACTCCCACAGGGAAGTAATTAGAAAGAATCCCCCTTCACCCACCAGAGTGATGTCAGAAAATACATACTAAAACACAGTATTTAAATGAGATCCAGATTCTTTTAAAATAATACCCAAAATGTCCAGGTTTCAACTGAAAATCCTTCATCATTCCAAGAACCAGAAAGATTTTGAAGAGTTATCAAACTGACCGAGGAAAGAAAATCAATACATGCCAACACTGCAGTGACACATGTTTCAATTACCCAGCAAAGCTTTCAAAGCAGCCATAATAAAAATGCTTTGACAAACAATTGAGAACATACTTGATACAAATACAAAATAGAAATTTTTAGCAAAGAAATAGAAGATACAGAGAACAAGTGGAAATTAAGAACTAAAAAATACAGTAACTGATATAAAATACTCATTAATTGAGTTAAATAGCAGGTTGGAGACAACAGAGGAAATAATCACTGAACTTGTAGACAGAACAACAGAAATTACCCAATAGAATTACAGAGAGAAAATAGACTGAAAATAAAATGAACAAGAAACAGTGGACTATAACAAAAGGTCTAATGTTTCTGTCACCAGAGTCCAAGAAGAGGAGAAATAGGGTGGGATTGCAAAAGTATTCAAATAATGGTTGAAATATTACCACACTGGGCAAAAAAACATAAGCCCACATATTCAAGAAGCTGATTTAATTATAAACAGTAGAAACCCTAATAAATTGATGCCAAGATACATCATGATTAAACCTTTGAAAATTAAACACAGAAAAATTAAAAATTATTGAAAGCAGCCACAGAAACAATGCTTTACCTATAGGGGAAAAACAATGCGAATGATAGCTGATCTCTCTTAGAAGAAATGGAGTCCAGAGGGAGGTAGCATATTTTCAGGGGGAAAAAGAAAAACTTTCAAACAAATGTATCGTCTGGGAATGAAGAGGAAACAAAGGCATTCCCAGATGAAGGAAAATTAGGATATTTTTTTCACAAGCATACCTACAATCAAATTATGGCCCAAGATAGTTCTTGGGTACAAGATGGTGATGTCAAAAGACCTGAATTCATCTCCTCCCACAGACACACTGAGTCAACAACTACAAATAGTGCAGTTCCGCTTGCACAGGAAATGAGGGCTGATTGAACAGTTTCTGTACAACAAAGATATAAAGGTTACATATACAATGGCATGAGTGATGGCGACATGGTAATAAATGGAACTCCACCCCCCAACACTAGTAACTGCAATAGGGAGGGATATTACTGAGAGAACCCATGCACAGATTCACTTCACCTGCTTCAACTCCAGGAGTCCTTTCAGAGCACCCACTGGGTAGAATGCTCAGGAACCCATGGCCACGCCCACTATACCAAAAGTCAGCCTGCCTGAACCACCAAGCATGTGCAGTCTACAAAAGGGATGTTCCTACACAAGTTCACTCCTTCAATACTGAAAAGAGTAGCTGTTTTACCTAATTCATAGAAACAAAGACAAAAAGTCAGATAAAATGAGAAAGAGGAATATGCTTCAAACAAAATGATAAGACAAAACTGAAGGAGAACTAAACAAAATAGAGTTAAGCAATGTACCTGATAAGAAATTCAAAGAAATGGTTATAAATATGCTCACTGGACTAGGGAAAAGAGTGGGTGAAATCAGTGAGAACTTCAGTAGAGATAGAACATAGAAAAAAGATCCTGTGAAAGATGAAGAATACAGTAAACAAAATGGAAAATATACTAGAGGGAATCAAAATTAGGTTAGAAGATGCAGAAGAACTGATAAGTGCTCTTGAAGACGGGAATGGAAAGCACTCAAATGAACAGCAGAAAGGAAAAAGAACAAAAAGAAATAAGAAGAGGTTAAGGAACCTCTGCAACAGCATGAAACATCCTAACATTTGCAATATAGGAGTCTCAGAAGGAAAAAAGAGAGGAAAAGGGGTGGAAAACTTATTTGAAGAAATAATAGCGGAAAACTGCCCTAAGTAGAAGTAACAGACATCCAGGTCTAGGGAGAACAGAAAGGCCCAAACAAGATAGTAATTAAAATGTCAAAAATTAAAGATAAACAGAGTATTAAAAGCATCAAGAGAGAAGAAACTAGTTACGTACAAGGAAACCCCATAAGCTGGTTTTTCAGTAGAAACTTTGCAGGACAGAATCTTGTGGTGGCATGATATATTCAAATTACTAAAATGAAAAACTGACAAGAGTACTCTACCCGGCAACATTATCATTCAGAATTGGAGAGAAAATGAGTTTCCCAGATAAATAAAACTTAAAGGAGTTCGTCAGCACAAAATTAGTCTTATAAGAAATGTTAAAGGGACATATTTAAGCAGAACGGGGAAAAGGCCATATCTAGAAGTAAGAAAATTATGAAGGAAAAAATTTCACTGGTAAAACATATAGTAAAGGTAGTAGATCAGTCACTTAAAAGCTAATATGAAGGTTAAAAGACAAAGTTGTAAAATCAGTTACATCTAAAAAAATTAGTTAAGGGAATCACAGAATAGAAGATGTAAAATATGATATTGTATACATAAAACATAGAGATGGGGAAGTAAAAAAAAATACTTGGAGACAAAAATAAAAATACAGTGGCTCAAAATCTTTGGGACACAACAAAAGCCATTCCAAGGGAAAATACACACCTACCTCTGAAATACACAATCTAACATTACTAAAGGAACTACAAAGGGAAGACCAAACAGAGCCCATAGTTAGTACAAGGAAAGAAGTAATAAATATCAGAACAGAAATAAGTGAAAAGGAGATATAAAAAAACAATAGGAAAGATCAGTGAAGCTAAGAACTCATTATATGAAAAGATTTTAAATATTGACAAACCTTTAGCCAGGCTCATGAAGAAATATATAGAGAGAGGACTCAAATAAAATCAGAAATGAAGTTTTAACCAACATCATGTGAATACAAAGAATTATAAGAGGTTACTAAGAAAAATTATATGCCAACCAATTGGACAACCTAGACGATATGGGTAAACTCCTAGAAGCACAGACTCTTCCAAGACTGATCCAGGAATAATTAGAAAATCCGAAGAGACCAATTGCTACTAATTAAATTAAATTGGTAATCGAAACACTCACAGGAAACAAAGGCCTGGAGCAGATGGCTGAATTCTGCCAAGCATTTGAAGAGTTAATATCTTTTTCTCAAACTATTCCAAAAAATAGAAGAATGAAAGCTTTCAAGTTCATTTCTAAAGGCCAGTATCACTCTGATACCCAAACCAGTTGAATACAAAACAAAAAAGGAAAATAACAGACCAATATCCCTGATGAACATAGATATAAAAATCCTCTATAAAATATTAGTACACCAAATTCAAAAATACACTAAAAGATTCAGTCACCATGACCAAGTAAGATTTATTCTAGGGATGCAATAATGGTTTAATATATGCATATTAATAAGTGTGATATACCACATTAGCACAAAGAATAAATCCATATAATCTGAATAGATGCAGAAAGATATTTGATAAAATTCACCATCAATTCATAATAAAAACTCAATAAAATGGGTATAGAAGGAACATACCTCAACACATACTGAAGGCTATATTTGACAAACTCACAACTAGCATAATCAGTGGCAAAAAGCTAAAATCTTTTCCTCTAAGATCAGAAACAAGACAAGGATGCCTACTCACCACTTTTATTCAACATAGTACTGGAAGTACTAGCCATAGCAATCAGGTAAGAAAAAGGGAATAAAAGGCATCCAAATTGCTAATAATAAAAAAAATTATCACTATTTGCTCAAGACATGGTGCCATATATAGCAAACCTTAAAGAATCCAACCAAAAGCTATTAGAACTAATACTAATATGTGAATTTGCTGAAGTTCCAGGGTACAAAATTAATATACAGAAATCTATTGCATTTCTATATATTAACAATGAACTAGCAGAATGAGAAATTAAGAGAACAACTATTTACAATTGCACTAAAAGAAAAATATACCTAGGTATGAATTTAACCAAGGAAATGAAAGGCCTATACTCTGCAAGTGGGGAAAAGACAGTCTCTTCAATAAATGATGTTGGTAAAGCCGGAAAGTTACCTACGAAAGAGTAAAACTGGAGCACTGTCTTACTATACAA